CCAAATCTGGTCTGCACTGTCTAAAGTCTACATTTTAGTCTACGTTTTCCAGGTACCCAAGAAGTATTTTCAAAAGAAGACTGATTAAAATTTTGTGATAAAGTCACAGAACCAATCAGTTCATTACATACTGAGACTTTGTGTGTGGTTCAGGCAGCTCAGTACTGCAGTTAGGTGGGTGAGGACAGATTAAACGGCTGGTGAGGAACCCATCCTGGAGGCCGTGTATCAAAGAGCTGCGCTGCGGAGGACGGCAGAGCACACCGTGTATTTACACTTTGTCGTGTGCACCATAGGATCACAGGAAGAGAATGCACCTTCTAATGAAATGATTAATGAGTTGTCCTGTAGAGCACAGCATGCTCTTCTATGCTGTCAGCACTTACGTGATGGGAACTTGCTGATGTTGTTGGCTACACGTATAAGCATGCGTGCTCCCTTCATGTGATCACCACGTTTCACGTGAGTCTGGAACGCAACAAACATATCGAATTAACTGCAGCCTTTAGAGAGCAATTCCTGCAGCCTCCTCTTGGCGTTCATCCTTCTGGGAGCTGCATGCCCACCGCTCTTTCACGAAACTAGGCAGAGGTGTATTATGCGCTAGAGAAAGGACCAGAGACTTTATAGTGGCTCTTTCCCAGAACAGTCTTTCTGGCCTTCAGCCCACTGTTTGCCTGCTCTTGCCTCACTGGTGGTGGAGAGGAAGGCCAGAAGCTGGCCGTAGGCTGGATGGATATCCTGATGGGCCATGGGTTAACTACTAGAAATCATTTGAGTCCCCGCTTAATTTCATTCACAGAAAAGCAGCGATCTGCTTATGCATAATAATTAATAATTGTAGTAGCAGCATAACATATTGGTAAGTGTGAATGCAAAGGAAATACAGGAGGCCAGATGTAGGTTTTTAATTATTTGGCATTTAAAAAAGAATATGCTCATCAAAGAGGCAGAAACAACCAAAAGGTATGGATTGTCCTTGTTAGCATGCACTTGGCTTCTCTGATACAACTTATATGACAAAGTAAGTAATTTATGTATACAGAGCATCCATATGTACAGTTCAATAAATCAGAGACTGTGCAATTTATGCATAGATGCAGTTTCTCAATTCATTACCTTCACTAAAATATAGCTGTGTAGAATCATAAGGTTTGTAGCCATCTCAGAAGGAATTTTAATCTTCTGGGTCTTTAACTCTGAATACATACTGAAAAGAACATCATGTGCATTTCGGTAGTTTCCTTAAAAACAAACAACACTGAATAATAAATTTAATTTTTCATAACAATTTCTTTACTAATGACATATACAGAAGCTGAACAGGAAGTTATGTTGATTCTCAGAGCAAAACACTTGCATGACAATTTCTTTGGAAAGTCACAAGCAGTTGCTTGTCACAGTATCCTAAACAGTATCAGCCAGGGAGTTAAATAAGAAAAAAAATTACACTGGGAGAAGTCATCTAAACAGTAACAAAATACATATATGGATGACAATTTCATATAATGAAACTTTCGAAATGGAAGATGCTGTACCCAATACATTGCTCCCACAATAAAGAGGAGAAAAGGTATTTTTAGAGCATTTAGAGATGTCGCCTCTTTTTGTTCTTCAGTGTCAGACATTCGAAAGCTGTTGTTTAAATGTTAATTTAACATACTTTTACTTTATCATTTGCTTTGGCAACTCCTTGCCTCTGCAACCAAACCAACCCAAAACCTTTCAGAGAGATAATTAAAATGTGAATGTTAATTCACTAGCTTATACTGCTTCAAGGTTACTATCAAGGATTGTCCAGAAACCACAGGATTTCATTAAATTATCAATGTAGCTGAAAACAACCAGTGCTTAGTATGGTTAGTCTACTCTTAGCTAGTTGTTTGTTCTTGCTTTGTTGTGTGGGGTTTTTTTTTTTTTTGCATTATTAGAGTATAAGGAAGTCATACTCTTTCCAGTTGGAGGCATTTAAAGGAAATTTCAGATTCAGTTATTTCAGCAAAGTTTTTTCCTCTCTCTCTCTCTCTCTTTCTCTATCAGCCAATGTTTTTACTCTATAGAGCAATTTGTTACATGTTGTTACATGCTACAATTGAATCAACCCATGGAATTTGTGTGAGGCAGGTAAATATCACTCCAGAAGTAGCAGCTGGAAAACAACATTAAATTTTCATGCTGTGTTACTGACTCTCAGTATAATAGGATCAGTCTTAAAATCATGTGATTACATAAAAAAACAACTTAAAAGAAAATTGCACATAAAATGGCATACCCAAAGGAAAATACCAAACGGTTTGACTTTTAAGGAAAGAATAAACTATACTGGTGTAAACTTCAAGTCTCAAACTCACAGAAATCTCCTGAAGGAAGAGGGGGACACTCTAAAACTGTGCCTCTGCGGAGGAAACAGTTACTACAAGATTGGTTGATTTTAATAAGAAAAATATTGTGCTTATTATTACACTGTTGCAGAACACATCTATACTATTAGGGAATGTGAAATACAGCATGGGATACTGCATTTTAGATATAAGTTTTCAGATTCAGAGAAGCTAGTAAATATTTAAACCCTTCAGCCTTCACATTTCCTGCTTACATAATTAGCACAAGTGCCTTATTCACTGCTACGATGAATTGGGAGATCATGCTTGCCAAGGGTTTAAGAGATTTTCCACTCCTTAGGCCAATGCTGAGGAGGAGCAGTCCATAAATACTAATTTGAATGGGCTGTTCCCGAGGCTGCTCTTTTTCCTTTATAGATATTTTTCTTAACTTGAAATGAAAAGCAAGCAGTGTTATGGTAGGGCTGTTGCCATGGCTACAGAGGAGCACGAATAATGGAGGCAATAGCTATTTTGCTTCTAGCCCTGTCCCTTCTTATTACTTTTTTCTATTTCTGATTTCAGCTGCCTATTACAGGGGAAAACAAGGCTTCAGTAAGCAGATGTCTGATCCTTCAACAGAAATAATCTCCTGTGCACATCTCCCACTAAAAAACATCATGTGCAAAGACTAAAGGATCAGTATCGAAGTCGGAAACTGCATGTAGAAACTGCAATTCTAAGATCTGTGAGATACAGAAAAGTAAAGTTGCAGGCAATCTTAATCACTATGTTTACTTGAATGTACTAAGGAATGCAGGTATTTTCCACAATTTTCTTTTTTCCAATATTTAATATACAGGTACGAGTCCCAACTTTTTCACAAAGTCTACTTCAAATTCAAACTTAAATTTGAATATAATTAAAAGCACTGATACATGTCTTTTCTAAGTATATAAATAACGGTACCCCAAGTACTGCAAGGGTGTAGTGTCTGAGATGCTGTCATATCCGAGAAAACAGACTTACCTGAGCACTGCTCCTCCCTGGCAATTATTATAGCAGTTCGGGCAGCTTCTCTGTATTGCTTTAGTGCCATGTATAAGCGGAATAGGTACTTGGCATCCTTAATTAAATCACACAAAAGCAATTAATACTAACTGAATACGTACTGCTGTATTCCCTTTCTTTCCCTGCCCATCCCACCACCACATTCTTCAAAGAAAGCGGACAAGCTGGCTTGTTTCGCGAAGAGCTCTTCGTATCAACATGCTTTAGCTATGCTACGTTCCCCTGTAAGTTTTGGCCCTTAGGACAGTCAGATAAACACCCACGTTGAGGACCCTGGCTGAGTTGTGGCAGTTAGTTGCCAAGCCCTGTTAACATGGGCGCAGAAAGCCGCAGACTGTTAGGCACATATAGAGAGTTGTACAGGTGGAAACCCAACTTCAGACGTGTAGGCATTTATGGTGTCAGAAAAGAACTAAAGGACTCCTTTCAGAAATCGAAATCTTGCTAGAAATGCTTAAAGCGTGTTACAGATCTAGATGCAAACATTGCTTAGTGGGGATAAGGATGACAACACCTGGCCATTAAAGAGTGTACTGTTCTGGGACCTGATGGTAGACATCCAAGACAGCTAAAAGAATTGAAAATTAAGGGGACAACCAGCTACCAAAATGCGTAAGATTTATAATTTGCTATACTACATACTGTTGATATATTACAGAATTCAAGAATGGCAAAGGTAGCAAAGAGTTCACCCAAGAACTGGCAATCCAACAGCTTAATTCAACATCAAGAAAATTAGTGAAATATTTTTAAAACAAAACTTTAAAAAACAAGATGGTAGTATTGAAGAAAACAAACATGAGTTCTAGTTTTTTAAGTGTACTCGAATTTCTAGCAGACTAGTTAAAAAAAAATCAACAAGAGAAAAGAGAACTGGTCTTTCATAAGGATTTTGAGAAAATTCTCAAAAGAGGTCATTCCTAAAAATACAGCTAAAATACAAAATATGAAATAAAATGACCTTGCTTATGATGAAAAGGAACTATTAAGTGTGAAAAAACCTGGGCTAGGGCCACTCTTTTATATCTTTAGCAGTGATTTCTAAAATGGAATCAATAAAAAGTAAAGTCTGTAGACAACAATTTATCTTTGACCTAGTAAATCAAGATTAAATTAAGCTGAAATATTGTCTCTAATGGTATGGTTCCAACTTAAATATAGACGAATCAGGAAAATCACTGGTAGCTTTATAGACAGCTTAGTAAAAAAAACAAACCAACTAATTCTGCAATATTATTAATAAAAAACAAACACTGACCATGTGTATTTTATGTTAAAATGGTATAAAAGTTTCTTTAAAAAGAACTGTATTAATCAGTGTTGTGCTGTTGTCTGGAATACTGTGTGCGTTTTGTATGCAAGTCTCAAAAACATAGTAAAAAAAAGCAGAAATTAAAAGGAAGAGAAATATGAAAAATATAAAGACATGTCCTTATAAAGAAGATGACCGCAAAGATTAACTCCCTACTTGAGAGGCAAGAAAAAAACAGATGAAAAATCACAGAAATAAAAGCAAGAGAGAAAGACTGGCATACAGAAAGAAAAAAGGCGAGTCAAATTCTTAAGTTGCAATATAATGAAAAACATTAAGTGACCTAAAGTAATTACTTTTAAACTAATGATGGAGCAGAATTTTAAGTAACACATGATCAAAAGGTCAAACATCATATGAACCATAATTTAACAATAATGAAATCGTTATCTGGATAATAAAGTAACCACAACTACTTATATCAGTGGATATTATTAACTGCCTTAAAAAAGAAAATTGCTATTCCCTGAGTGGGGTAAAACAAAAATCATTATGAATGGTAGGTTATGATGTAATTCTTCCCAGCCTCTGACACCTCCTAATGACCACAGAGGGCCGTTCCACTGATGATAGCAGAAGGCTGCACTTCTTCCCCATCCAGGCTGCTTCTCCCTTTTCTCTAGCAGGAGAAGGATCCTGTCCCAGCACGGACCAGTGGTCTTACAAGGTATTTGCCATGTCCCTAATTGTATTTTACTTAAATAATATATTTAAATGACTTATATGGCTGCCATATGTAGAAAAAATATAAAAGTAGAAGGCATTTAAGAAAAATTAGTCTCACGTTTTACTTTCATATTCTTACCTTTAAAGTTAGCCATTTTAAAAGCAAAAAATGCAGGAAGGAATTTTCAATTGACAACACATTTCCTAAGGTCTTTTCTATCTGTCTAATCTTAGTATTAGACAGCCATGATTTTAATTTAGTTTTGCTCTTTAAAACACATATGCTTAGAAATTATGCACACAGAAAACAGCAGAACCTTGCTAGTTAACGCTCCCTGAAAAATTACAAAAGAACATACATGACAAATTAAGAATCTTTACATGTTAAAGTTAACAAAATACAATAGTTGACATAATAACACATTTAAGAAATAGTTTATAATTAGTCAGACAATAGTGTAGCAAAATTTTTGTAAGCATAATAATTTTGATAATATGGTACTTCATTAAAACCCCACATAATTGTTGGCTATGAAAGATTTAAAGTGATCAGGCTGCTGTGAGCGATGATCTGGTTTGAAGATCAATGCTTGAAAGGATTAGCAAGTTTCTGCTGCATGGCTACTTTAAGTTCACTCTTATTTTCAGCTTTACAAAAATACCACCACATAAAAGCTGCTATTCTCTAAAAACAACCCCATTTGCTTGATAATTTAAAAAACGCTGTCTCCACAGCATAATAAGGATAAACATGAATTGTTTTTAAGTAGGTTTTTAAAACAAGTATGTATGATTTGATAATGTAAAATTTTGTTACTCACTGAGAGAGACTATGGCAGATTCGATTAAAGCATTCAGAAGAACAAGAGAGAGCTTTTAAACAAGGAAAAGAAAGCTCTACATTGACATTCAAAACAATGTTAAATATGGCAATTACAGCATTCACAAAATTCCTAAGTGTTTTCAAAATCTTTAGAACCTCTTTACTACGGAGATCATACTATAGCTCACTTCCCTCACCCAGCCCTATGCACTTCTTTCAGATGGCTAGGCTGCCGCTCTTAGAAAACAGACTGGATGCTACAGTTTCTGTCCACCCAACTTTCAGCATAAACATGAAATTACTTTTGCTTACACTGATGCTGCACAGATTTGTCATCTAATGCCTCAAACAGCTTCATTCTTTTCTGGTCTCTTGCAGTTGTATTTTGTTTGTTTCACTATGTTTCACTTCTCTCATAATTTTATTAATGTTCACATTTCAAATTACAGGTAAATAATAAGATGTAAATAATAATAGCCATTGGGCTATGATTAATGGGATGAAATTTAACAAGTCGAAATGCTGGATTCTGCACCTAGGATGGAGGAATGCTGGGCACAAGTATAAATTGGGAGAGGAGTGGCTGGAGAGCAGCCCTGCAGAAAGGGATCTGGGGGTGCTGGTCGACAGCAGGCTCAATATGAGTCAGCTGTGTGCCCTGGGGTGCATCCAACACGGTATAACCAGCCACTCAAAAGAGGTGATTATCCTGCTGTATTCAGCGTTGGTGCAGCCTCACCTTGAGTACTGTGTGCAGTTCTGAGCCACACAATTTAAGAAGGATGTGAAGGTCCTTGAATGTGTCCAGAGGAGGGCAGCAAAGCTGGTGAAAGGGCTGGAAGGAATGTCCTCTGAGGAGCGGCTGAGGACTTTGGGCTTGTCTAGTTTGGAGAAAAGGAGGCTGAGGGGCGACCTCATTGCTCTCTACAGCTTCCTGAGGAGGGGAAGTGGAGAGGGAGGTGCTGATCTCTTCTCCCTGGTATCCAGTGACAGGACATGTGGGAATGGTTCAAAGCTGCACCAGGGAAGGTTTAGACTGGACATTAGGAAGCATTTCTTTACTGAGAGGGTGGTCAAACACTGAAACAGGCTTCCTAGAGAGGTGGTTGATGCCCCATGCCTGTCAGTGTTTGAGGCATTCGGACAATGCCCTTAACAACATGCTTTAACTTTTGGTCAGCCCTGAATTGGTCAGGCAGTTGGACTAGATGATCATTGTAGGTCCCTTCCAACTGAAATAGTCTATTCTATTCTATTCTATTCTATAAAGAGATAGAGGGTTTGGTGGTTTTTCTTTTTTTAATTTTATAAAAGCAAGATTGGCTTGGCCATCAACTGTCCAGTGTCTCTGAAAGTCTAAAATATCAAGCCCTTAATCTCTAGGCACCATACAAAGAGGAAAGAGACAGAATTTCTAATCTCACAACAGAATCATAAACCACTGCTGTAATATTAGCGATAAAATAAACTTACTGCACCGAGACCATGTCATCTCTATCATTACCAAACCTTACTCCCCTCAGTAAGGCAGAACTTATTCTTCCACACATATCATTTTGCACCTGACTGTATTTACTGTGAGTTTGTATGAGATCTTAAATTCCTTGACTAAGGAATTAATTGCAGACTGCAATGTCTGCATCTGAGGTCTAGCCTTCACAGTAGAAAAACATGGGTACAGCACCACTTGGCTCACATTCAAGCTCTGCTGTAACAGGCAGTAAAACCTCAAGTGGCTCAGCCACTCCGTTCCATAAACTCAAGCCCAAATATGATTGAATGTACCATAAGCTCTATGGACATCAAAGCCAAAAATGGATTGTGAAGCCTGTTTTTCTATAGCTCGAACTCAGAGAAACCAGATAGCCCATCAGCAGTCACTCTGCAAAAGAGCTGTTTATTATCTTAACCTCAGATGCTGCTGTTCTGATGTCTAACACGATATTTACAGTGGACATTTTTAACCTGTCCTGGGAAAAAAATCATACCAACAGAATATGGTCAAAATCTACTTCTTGTATTACATATATAGCACAGATCTAATCTATGTTCTGCTTAGTTTGTGAATGATCCTCTTCCTTTATTACCAAAGCTATGGCATTGGCAATTAATACACAAAAATCTGTCAGCAAGCATCTTCCAACTCCCAAATCCGTATATACAAAAGAGAAAAAGATGAAATAGTCTACCAGTCTGCCAAAAGCCTTTTATTGCACCCAATGAATGCTTTGCTTTTAACAAAGGAGCAGGAAACCTGGAAGAAAGGGCAATGGACCTCTCAATTGATCACATGACATTAAAAGAAGCCTCATAGCACAGAGCACCTCTTATCTCACAAAGCACCTCCTAAATAGTATAAAATAAAAATACGTAAGGGTCTAAGGATCCAAAGATTTTTTTTATGCCAATGATGAGTGACAATGTAAAAATCAGTGTCCACCGTGTTTTATTCTCCTATTGTTAATCAAAATTCCAAGTTAGGAAGGTCTGTCACCAAAAATCTTCAAATGTGCTTCCTGTTTTTTTATTGTCTATCATAAATTAAATATGTAATTGCATTCTCCAACACAGAACAGAAACTGTGTTTTAGTTTACGGAACTACAGCCTATGACTCTACGAATAATCAATTCAAACTTTAAACTAAATACTTCTACATAATAAGAAATCAAAAAAGAATTTTTTTAAAAACAAGGTTTAACTCTCATATGGGCATCCACATGAAGCAGTTACATTTTCAAGTGATTTCAGTGCCAAATTTTTCCCTTCATTTCACATTTTAAAACAGAGTTGTTTTGGGCTAAGTTCTTTTTGAGAACATGGTCATTAGTCACTTAAGAAATCAACAAGGAGCTGGGTAATTTTGAAAATCTGTCCACAACTTTTTATGTCTTAAGTTGATGTGTGAATACAGGAACTAATGTACCCTGACCTTCTTTGGGTTTCTGTCCTTCATCTCCTATTTACGACCTTACTTTCCTCCACTGCAACAGTTAGACCAACTCCCCACACTGCAAGAAGAGATCAGTGCTGCAGCTAGTCTTGAGACACACACGTGCTGACCGTCCATCTGGGAAAGGCAACAGCCAGCTGGCTAACTGGCATGAACAAACAGCTAAGTCTTGTCTCTTTCCGTCAGTATGAGTGTTAATTTGAATCTCCTCTGTCCAACTACCTGCTTTCATAAAGCTTGGAGAAAGATGATTATATCTAAGATAGTTACTTCCTTTCTTATCTTTCCAAAACTGAAGTTACTGGGTGAATGACTCACAGAGTGATCATGTAAGTCTTGCTCCTTAATGAAACCAAGCTAAAACACAATCTGTGTCTACCAAAAATTTTAGGACAAAATAAGCTCAAAAGATCTTGCAGCACAGAAACGTGACACAATAGCAGTGATAAAAACACAATACCTTGGGCATGCCATCACTCTCTCCCATAAGATAGTCTATCAGCTGATTTGTTAGGGCTTCATCTTTTGCCCGTCCCACCTATTAAATAAAGACAGAAGAAATTATAATATGAAGGAGAAAGGAAAAATACTTACTCATAAGGAGGCTTTCCATAAAAATACTGAAACTAGATAGATTTAAAACGATTTTTTAAAGTTCTGTGTGTTCAAACCAGATGACTACTTGGTTCATCAGCTTTGACACGCAGTAGTTCATATTTATTTTCTAATGTGTTATGTGAGGGGATTATAACTAAATAGGTCTCTACCAGCATGAACTGTTCCTCTGCTTCAGTGTTGGGAAGGCATCTGAATCTAGGGATTCAGCTGAAGCCTGCTGTCACAAAGCTATGTCAATCAACCCAGCACAATTTGTGTCTCAGAGGAATATTCAGTGCTGGTTACTAGAATAGAGCCAGCACTATCTGGCCGGTTGAAGAGACAGTCTCAAAAATACAGCTGAGATGTTGAGATTCCACGACGATACATATGGTACAACTGCAGCAATAGTCTTTGGGCTGTTTCATAGCCTTTGGTTTATTCATTTGGGCTGAAACATCTGGATCCAGAGGAAAGCATTAGACACCTCAAACTTCAGTCTTACAAGCCTTGCCAACAGCTCTGTGAGATGAAAGGCCTCAAGAGCAGTTGTGCTAGCTCTAGGCAGAGTCAGACCTACTGTTTAAGAGTCTGAAAAAACTTGTGATACCTAACAAGATTTTCAAAGCTGTGGGTTCTTCAAGGGAACAGAGGCAGTCTGAGCATGGTTTGGATGATGGAAAGTGAAAGTCGCAGTGGATGCTTAGATGGAAGCTGGCAATGGGCCTGCTTAGGCAGGTTTCCAGCATATATTGTCTAGAAGGGAATCTCAAGAAACAGAGATGGTTCACACGTACTGAGGTGCAGCATGAGCTGGAGACTTGATGACTACATAATTTTGGAGATCATGAGCAAATTAACTAAGCAAAGATTGCTTCATCCCAAATGTCTTCCTTTTTTAGGGATGGAAAAGAGATTTTTAGAGATAATAAAGATGAAAACCAAAAGGTGTTAATAAGACTGATGCTGCAACTGGTCTTCTGTCTGATAGTGGAAGCCGAGAGCAGTGAGCAGTGGATATTGTCTACCTTGATTTCAGAAAGGCTTCTGACACTGTCTCCCACAATATCCTCACAGAGAAGCTCATGAAGTACGGGCTGGATGCACAGACAGTGAGGTGCACTGAAAACTGGCTGAATGGCCAGGCCCAGAGGGTTGTGATCAATAATACAAAGTCTAGTTGAAGGCCAGTAACTAGCAGTGTACCCCAGGGGTCAATACTGGGTCCAATCTGATCTGGATGATGGGGCAGAGTGCACCCTTAGCAAGCTTGCTGATGATACAAAACTGGGAAGAATGGCTGATACATGGGAGGGCTGTGCTGCCATCCGAGTGTCCTTGACAGGCTGGAGAAATGGGCTGACAGGAACCTCATGAAGTTCATCAAAGGGAAGTGCACAATCCTGCACCCGGGGAGGAACAACCCCATGCGCCAGTATATGCTGTGGGCCACCCAGCTGGAAAGCAGCTTTGCAGAAAAGGACCTGGGGGTCGCCAAGTTGAACATGAGTTACCAATCTGCCCTTGCAGCAAAGGAGGATAATGGTATCCTGGGGTGCATTAGGAGGAGTGTTGCCAGCAAGTCGAGGCAGGTGATCCTTCCCCTCTACTCCAGGTGAGGCCACACCTGGAGTACTGTGTCCAGTTCTGGGCTTGTCAGTACAAGAGAGAAGGCCATGCTGGAGAGAGTCCAGCAAAAGGCCACTAAGATGATGAAGGGCCTGGAGCCTTTCATGAGGGAAGGCTGAGAGAGCTGGGACTGTTTAGACTGGAGAAGAGAAGGCTTGGGGGGGATCTTGTCAATTATATAAATACTTGAAGGGAGGGTGCAAAAAGGAAGGAGCCAGGCTCTCTTTAGTGGTGCCCAGTGACAGGACCAGAGGCAATGGGCATCAGCTGGAACACAGGAGGTTCCATCTGAACATCATGAAACACTTTTTCACTGTAAGGGTGACCAAACACCGGCACAGGTTGCCCAGGGAGGTTGTGAAGTCTCCCTCCTTGGAGATATTAAAAAGCCATCTGGACATGGCCCTGGACAACCAGCTCTAGGTGGCCCTCCTTGAGCAGGGGGGTTGGACCAGATGACCTTCAGAAGTTCCTTCCAATCTCAACCATTCTGTGATTCTGTCACACAGAGCGAGAATGGAGGCATACTGACCTCTCTAACCATAGTGTGCAGACTGCAACAATCAGCAAAACTGAAAAATCATATATGGATATTGCTAAAAAGGAAAATTCCAAACTCGGGTGTCTCTGACACACAACCACAAAAATCTGAATGAATTCATAAACCCTCCTTTGAAGACTGAAAACACGTTTTCCTCTGGTGTCAGTATTATCTTATTCTACGTTTTTAATGTTTAGATATCACCTTTACTGATAGAGTTTTCCTTCTATTTGTAATCTGTCCAAACACACTCGCTGACGCTAGGAAAAGGTCACAATACTGAAGGTAAACTTCTTGAAAAGATGAGAATTTTTTGTTTTATCAAAGTTGCTTACTGTTTCGATTGCCATTTCTATAGCCAAGTTATCTTCTGTGCTTGGACTTTTCATAAAGTGCTTTAATGCCTAGAATGATAAAGAAGAAAAGTTAAAACTGAGACACATGAAATTAACATTTTCCTAATTTTTCTCAAGTTATTTCTCTCTGCATTTTGACAGACAAGTGGCACACTGAATTCTTATCTTGACTGTATTTTACAGCCATAAGGATAACCACGTACACTACAGAGGTAGCAGCTGCTCTTACAGATACTCCTGCAAGAAGGAAAAGTTGAGTCTTTGCCAAATTCTGGTGTATACCTTTATCTAACTGTGAAAGATGTTCACAGCAATATGGTGAGAAGAAAGTAACGATTAATGTGCCATAGGACCCTCCCTATGCTCCAGTTGAAGGAGTGGTCACCTACAATGGCTGTAATTTGCAAAAAATCAGTAATATATTTTTTTTATGTGTTCAGTATGCAAAAGTCATACATTTAATAAGTGTAAGTTCACTGATTTGTAACTGATCAAAAGGAAGTGTGTCAATCGACATACTGCAATTAACATACTTCCTTTTTTAAAAAAAAGCTTTAAGTTAGGGCATGCCACAGTATTAAATGAATTAATTAGTCAGCAACCAAGTCTTCACTGGTCAAGCTAATAAAATATAAATAAATTCTACTTCTATGTTCATGACATTTAGAGATTCATTGAGAATAGTATATCATTGATCCACCTGGAGCCTCTATTGCTACGAAAAAGTTATGTGCATGGCAGTGTATACAGAATACAATGTAGATAACTGTAAATATAAATAGAAAAAATAAATAGAAAATAGTTTACTTACGTTTTTTACACTTTTTAAAAATATCAGTATGTCATCAGTTAAGGCAGCTAAAGCCTACTATGAACTTCCCTGATTTTGAAGTACTGTATTTTGAACAGCTTCTATGAACGTTTAACTATCACTGTTTTATCCTTTAAGTACTGACCCGTCCATATTGACCACACAGCAAGAAAAATTTTCCCGCCTGAAAATGTTTCTTTTCTCCTTCAAAATAGAGTGCGATGCTCTGATAATCTTCATTGGTAGTACTTTCAGAACCTGCAACAGATAGATAGCAATGATAGCAGAGTATTCTTATTAAGTAAGATAAAGGCCCTACTGAAGGAACAAATTCCTATTCTACGTTTTTGTTTTTTTCTACTGACATTCAAAGAAAACCAAAGCCAGCTAGACTCAAATTATGTCTTACATGTTTTTTTCCTATTTAATCAGACTAAATGTCAAACGTTAGGAGCTAATAATGCAGTGAAATAATTGTTTCCATAGGTTTTACACCATAATGGGATTTCTGTTTTTTTAACAGACAATCAAATGGCATAACTATGACGTACTAATGAATTTTTCCATTATGTCTTGGCAACAATAAAACAGAGCAAGCGATTATAGATTATCACCTAAATTATTTTCACAGTTTAAGAATATACGAGTATATCTGTATCGCACAGAGCAAGACTATCAGGACCAATGTAACCATATGATAGCAGGGAATACTACTTAGTCTTCTAACCAAGACTCCATTTTACTGTACACATCTAAAAGAAAGACAGCCACTACTCCAAAGTTAGTTTTAAACCCTTTTTCCACCCATTTAGATTACAATTTGAGACATCGTATTTTGGATAGGAGAGAAGGAAGAAAGCAAAAGGAACAGTAGAACAATAACGGCCACCTTGACAAGCAGCTGCAACAGTACACCACCAAGCTAGCTGTTGCCAAGTTTTTATAACCTTCATAACAAGAATACATTTTTTAAAGGAAGAGATTAATTGAAAATATGAGATAATTTGGTAGATATGTATGTGGAACTGTTTCTGCAAAGAATGGTGCCTGATACAGGTGAAAAAAATAAAATTTATTGCAAACTGACAAGCTGGCCTGAGGTAAAAGTCAGCTTCTCAGTAAGGTCCCCTTTTTGACTCTCACTGAGAGAAGAGGAGGCCACGAAGGGCCTTAAAGGGAAAAGAAGAAAAGACAAGTGACATACACACGTAAGAAAAGAGCTGGAACCATGAGAAAAGGAGAAGAGGGGATAAAAGTCAAGAACTGTACCAGTAAAATTCTCAGTTTTGGAAAAGCAGTACTACATATATCAAGGTCAAAGAAAGGGATTCCTCAACGGACACAAGAAAATAGTCTAGACAAATGCTTGATCTCTATGGATAAAGAGAAAAAGCTCTAGCACAGGCAAGATTTGAAAACATAAACTGAAGACCAAGGGAGAGAACTAAGCTGAAAGCAAAGCCTAGCTTGTAGGCCTGAATTAGACACGGATTGCCAAATCTCTCCATGGTGACTGGAAATGGAAAAGGCTGGGAAACAAAACTCCACACCCTTGTCTTATGATTTCAAATTGGTCTAAACCAATTAAAAGAACAGCAAAACACATTGCAAGCAAACTATTAACCTGGAATACTCACTGATGATATCAGCATAAATCTCCATCTTGTTGTGTTGTTGAGCTAATGTGAAAGCTTCATTATTGCACTTGGACATGACCAGGAACTGGATGGCAGAACCATAGTCACCAAGCTGCAGAAAGAATCTAATCAGAATGAACAAATTAATACCTTAGTACTAATTAGCATAATGAATACAACAAACATTTTAGGAATATATTATATTTTGTGGTATACAAATATGATACATTTCTAATTTATTTTATATCTCTATCATTTTAAGGTTACTAAAATAAACTTAGTACAAGTAATACAGCATGGCAACTTTTATTATTGTCTAAACTTATTACTTCAGGTTAATATAATTTTAGTCAGAAAGTTAAAAAAAGGAAAAAAAATCAGGACCTGCTTAGCTGTCCAAATTTTAGAGAACTCAATCAATAAACTGAAATATATAGTCACTGGCCAAGTACCCATAATCACAGTCTGAGACGTTAGCAAGCCTTACCAACTTCCAATAGGTATGGCCTCTTTCACCCCTTTTTTTTAACCTGTATAATATGATTGTTACCTGGCCACCATCTTTGCTCCATCAAGAGACTGTGTTTCTCTCACAATATTAACAGCCTTTTCAGGATTATTAAGGTGATCCAAATACAGTCGAATTACACTGTCCCATTGCTTTGCTTGCTCATAAGCTATCACAGCTTCCTTGTACCTGCAAAATAATGGTTCCACATCAGTTTTTCTAACTTTGAAATAACTCTTTACAATATGGTGTGAAAGAAACATACAGTATTTTATTTCTGAGAGGTTACTCTGTGACACCTTCCTTTCAGTTTGCATATAATAGCCTTGTTCTGCAATCACTATGTTTTTTTGTCTCTGTTTCATTTTCTCATGGGAAAACAAAAGGCAGAGACAGCAGAAAAATGTCTACCACAATACTGTTTTCGACCTACTCTGCCAGCATCCCTTTTGGTGTATCTTAAAAGTGGTTCACCTGTTCCATCAGTTCTGTATGAAATCACTTGGGAGTGAGAGAACAATAAAAAAACAAACATGATAACTAGTTGTACAATTTTAAAAATGAGACTTCTTTTCTGTTCTGTAAACAAGATCAAGAAATTTCTCATTCTCACACTATGCAATTGACACAAATAGTATTTTCTAGTCTCATCAATGCAAACATTTAGCTTTGGTGCTGTTTCATATTATAAAGTATCGTTATTCTGAAGCACGTTTACTTACAGGTAAGGACTAGTAGAAACTACATTCTGTGATTAAATATAACCTATCTTGGGCTTTCATTTCAGCCAATAATTTCACATTATTCAACGTTTTGCAAGTGCAGCCATTAAAATGTAACAGTAACTTGGTTCTAGAATGAAAAATTTTCTTTCATGATTATTCCCCCCTCTGAATGACCTTTAAAAATCACAGCTAAGGAGTTGTTAGAAACAAACTGAACTTAAATACTCTAAGTGGAATATTGCACTGGGTGCAGTACTTTAAAACATTTAATGATTTTTGTTAAAAAGATATTAATGCTTAGACAGGAAAACGATGAATTAGAAACACATCTTTGATACTAGTGGAAGGTCCTTAGATTATGTTTAAAATCTTTACACAACACCTTAAGTTTACATATTTCAGAATCCTTTTTCCCAAGGCTATTTTACGCAAAATTTAAAGTCTGCCTTTTAATTTATTTTACAATAATTACTCTCTACAAAAAGAGTAATGTATAACAACAACAACAACAACAACAACAACAACAACATGTTTTATAAAAAAAGGTAAGCATTCAAATGCACCTGCCATCTGCTTCTTTGGCCTTTGCATATTGTAGGTGAATCTTTGGAGATGAAACATGAGAAAGAAGTTCACCAACCTTTGCCCTAGAAAGACAAGATAATAGTTATTTAATAAATATATCTGGCTTCAAATTTTCTCCAGCAAAACAGGCATATTTATATCAACACTGAAAAGGAGGCTAAAAAAGAATTGAACATAATGTATAAGCTTTGAAGGCACTTTAATATTTTCAAAAAGCTGCACTTTATAGATGTAAGAACTGGAAATTACAGACTGTTTCATGAACATACAGGCTTAAAGGAGGACAGTATCTTCTCTTTTTTAAGTTTGAGATGTACAAGCATAAGAAGTGCCAGACCAACAATTTTTACCTCTGGTATTCTCTAATTCATCTACAGAAGAGGCACAGTATTAAAACTGTAACCTGAAAGAACGTGCAAAGGAGTACATAAGACCACCAGTACAGGTGCAGTTGTGATTACTCCCACGATAGTGTGCTTAAGGCCGTAGGCTGTACAGAGGACCCTAGGCAACTAGAACCAGATTCTCTGAGCGACAACATCCGTAACAGCAGAGTGTGGAGGAACACAGAACTACGTCAGTCCTTCCATAAATCTAGCTTCAGGAGTTGCACACAGTGATATGATCTATAAGAGCCAGCAAACTAAGCAGTGGGCCTTTCAAGACAAAGGATATGAGAGACTGAAGAAAGGCTGACCTTAAATCTCACCTCTCTGCCTAAAAGACAGAGCACTCCCCAAACTGAACCTCCTTCTGCTAGAGTAAACAAAGCTTGTACCTTGCACTTTCCAAATCAAGGCTATCATTATATGCAAGCTACCCTACTTAACAAAGTGTTCTCTTGGTCCGTTCTGATGCCAATGACAATTCTATGATGGAACAAAATTTTCCTTAGTACATGAACATAATATTCCAACCCAATTTTTAGAGCACTCATATGAAAGAGGAGGGCTCTTTCTGATCTCTGCTCCAATCAGTTCTTAACATTAGAAGTCCATAAAATGTAATCAGGCAAGAATTAAGCCCTTAAATCTCTCAGTAAATTGTACTTTTCCACTGGAAATTTGACAATAATCAAATTCATTTAAAAAAAATTAAAAAGGTATTGAACATAATGCCAACGATTTTGACTACTCATGATACAGACTCCACTTGAACCAGCAACTTAGAATACTTTCCAACTGTCTGAATATTCAGTCTCAGCTATGTATTTTATAGCTGAAGGAATTTAATGAACTAAACAGTAACTACAGGAATAAAATTACTAAATTCAGTGTGCGCGTGCACACACAAACAAAGGACTCAAAACTGCAGGTAACTAAACATAACACAAAAAAAAGAAAAAAGGAAGACTATCTCCCATTTACAGTAAGACTATATTTAAAAGAACATAAGCTTCTGAGAGAACACTGTTCTTGTTTAAGGTTGAGGGAGGGAACAGTAAAATCAATGAAACATAATTAATGAGACATTTGTGCTCTTCAGAGAATCATTCCTTTCCAAAGAGCACCACAGCAAGTCCCTGAAACCTGTACTTACCAGTTTTTACACCGGATGTACACTGATGCTGCCTTGTCATAATATTGTCCCTTTTCATACAGCTGAGCAGCTTCTGAAAATTGCTACAATATTGGAAATAATTAAAATATAATTTCTAAATTAAGATTACAAAGAAATAAATAGTTTAATGAATTCACATATTCAGCCTTAGCTTTATTAACTTTTTTGAATACCTTCATACTCTCCAGAATAGCTCCACAGTCTCTTTTTAGTAACCTACTGGGATGTTTAATGGCCTGATTTACCCCTCGACGGATATCTCCCATTCGAATGGACATTTGAGCCACTCCAGCAAGGCAAGCTTCATCATGTTCCTGGTACTGGCAATCAAATAAAAAGCAGTAACTATACATTATACATCAGAAATATCAGGTCACAAAAGCCACAGTAACCAAGCACTGAAACAAATTAACAAAACATTACATGGTTAAATCAATTAGTTAAATCAATTTTTGTCTCAAAACCCTTGCCTAGCTGCAGCTGTCACTTATTTAGAAGAACTCAGCTTAGCTTTCTTCTTAAGCTTTGACTTTAATTTTTACATTTTACTTACAAGATCTGTCCAGACCAAGCATACATGAGAAGAATCAGTTTTACAGACAGCTCAGTACTAATCTCCTCTTTCCTCCAAAACCAACAGTAGAGAAAAAGAGAAACTACAAGCAGGATATTTCCTTTTTTTCTTTTTTTTAAAGGTGGTAAGGCCACTGATGTTTCATAAAGCCAAATGGCTTGAATTCAGGAAAGATTGCTATTTCCCCTACTATGTTCCCTTATTATAATTTAAGCTGCTTCATAATAGACATTTTGCAAATATTAGGGGAAATAATGCCAGAACAAGGGAGGTTCTACTGAATATGATGTTTATTTTCTAACGCAATCCTTGCTTGTCTTCATATAGGTAACAATTCAGTAAAGAAGAATAGAATGAATAATTAGGACTTTTGTTCTACAAATGAAAATTCTAGCAATATTTTCTCTGACATTCGCACATCTATTATGAAACTGCTCAAATTATAAAAACCTAAGTCTAGTTATGCCATGTTAATACGACAGTGCTGCTTTATACCTAGAGAAAGCATCATTCTGTACATTGAAAATAAGAGAAATGCAAAGACTACTATCCCAAAAGCAACAGTCATATAGATTTAGAACTGAATAAAAAATATCTGAATTCAAATGAGTCTGAAACATGACAACTTAATGTGTAGTATGATAGTACAAATGCTATCATTACTAAAAAGGAATTACCTTACTGTTTCCAGTGATTCCCTTCTCATAATGTGCCAGAGCGTTAACATAATCACCCCTAAAAGAAAATTGGAAGTTATATGGAAGAATATTTTTAATAGGAAGAGATGGTTACCTTCCTACCACACAGATTATGCATGTATCTGGTCTTGCTTTAGACATCAACGACTCCATACAAGGATGTGAAGTATGCGAAAGATAGACAGGTACACAGTATGTCATAGCACTTCCCATGCACTTTATCAAGCTATTAGTCAAAAAGGCAGTTGATCTCTCAATTCCTTTACACTGAGACCAATAAACCTCCCTTGAAAGACAGGCAAAAAATCTATCTGCAATAATGTCATCTCTACTTCCACATTTTTCTGGAAAATAAGTTAAACTAACCTTCTAAAATTATTTAGAATTTTCACAACATAAAAATGAAGGCAATTTTTTTTCCTTAAGTACATTCAGAACTCAAGTTACAGATGGTTGCATTTCTTCAACTGCCTCCGTTCCTTCCTTTCTGTGACCAACAAGTGTCCTCTCTCAGTGCCAGGGGCACTGTCGGGGGAAGGAGTTGTCTAAAAACTCTATTAATAGATAAGAGCTTTTCCTCTTGGTTTAGACATTGAACAGACCAGGTTTCATCTGGGAAGAATTAGCTATGAAATAGATTTTAAAATCACGGCAAATGGTTAATACCTTCTCTCTTTCAGGGACTGGCAGCCTTGAAATTTGACACTCCTCTACCTAAAATATATTAAGAAAATGAAGGCTACTAGGTATTTAAGGAAAGCCAGGCAAAGGGCAAGGCTTTCGTCCAGTTAAGAAGAAGTGTTAAATAGTGTGAACTTTCTCTATTTTCCAAGCACTTGCCTGCAACAAAGTATTTATTTAGTAGATTATATTATTAGTGGACCTACCAGTTGCAAAGAACCCAGATATACTGAAATTAATCAAAAGTAACTATTATTTGCTAAGGTATATCTCTATCTCTCAATTCCTTACAGAACTACTCTTCCTTGTACTGTAGCTGCAAGACTTCACAGAATCCTCTCTCAGCAACGCAGTCAGCTGAAGTATCTCAATTCTATATTCTTCTAGTCAGCATGAGTATTGGTTTAATTTTCTTATACTGCAACTTTACAGGAGAACTTACGTGAATTCAAGCTGCATTGCATATTCCTTTGATATGAAAGGGATTTGGTCTGGGGCCAAACGCTTAGCCAGCTGAAGTGCACTGTCCCAGTGTTGCAAGTCTTTTCGCATCTATTAACAAAGAACAGTAACATTTTCTGATGCAAGTATCAAATTCTGAATTCTAATATGAACTTTATATTATTCTAAATACAAATATAGAGCTAGTATTCTAGAAAGATTCAGACAATTTGAGAGAGAGACATTCATCCTAAAAGAATGTCTGACAGTCACACAATGGTAAGAACAAAACCATAAAAGGGCAGAATTACCAGAAGATAAAATATTCCAACATTAAGGTGGAGATGAAAACAGCAGAAAAAAATTTACACATCTTAAATGAATACCTCAAGTGCAGCAATAGGACAGGAGGATGCCAGATATAAATCTTGAGCCAGATTAAAATCACTAGTAAACATGGCAAGATGTCCTGCTAAAAGGTTGTGGTCTTCTATTCCCTGTAAAAAGATATAATAGGTGCAAAAGTAGTCCAAAAGAAAAAAAATATTGTTATAAGTAACAGAATCCAGTAAGCACAGTAAAACAAAATATCCTTACATTTTACAACCATGTGTATCGGATTCTACAAACTAGAAAAAGCCCTCACTTTCTTATTGTAGCTCAAAGCCACTACAGCTAACGCTGTCTAAAATCAGCAATTTGCAGAAGTATATTTTTAGTACTATTTCATGCACACTTTTAGATGTATAATTGCAATCTGTTTTGGTTTTTTTAAATAATAATAGTGGCCTTAAATGTTTTTTCAAAAATAACAAAGGAAAAAAGCCTCCAAATGCCTGAGACATGAATATATTCTGCTGCTCTCAAGCAAATGCAGAAAGGAATGTGGTGCATTCCAGTAGAGACGGCAACCACTTCAAGAGAAAACCAAGCAAGAGTTATGTGGTTTGGACACTTTCTCCTCTGTAACTATTAACTCTCTTGAAAATAATTCACCTTCTATTTAAAAAAAAAAACCAAGTCCCCACAAAATTAAGAATTCAGCAATCCTTAAAGAAGAATTAAATCACCATATTTCCTATTTAAAAGGGACTTTACATTTTACCTTTATTTGCTCTAGTGACATCACCATCCCAGCATTACCAAATGTCCGATAAACACGTATTGCAAAATCCACCTCCATATGATGTAAGCAAGCTTTGGCCAGCTCATTCCAACCAGACTGGTCATTCAGAAGTCTGCACACCTCCCATGCTTCAGAAAACCTATAGAAGGTAAAACGCATTTAAAACTCGTATTACTCGTACCTAAAATTCCCTCTCAACACTTTTTTTCCCCCGAGTATTACGGTAGGGAAAACATAAAAAGCATTTACTTCTAAGCCATGGAGAGAGAGAGGTGTCAGGAAGAAAGGAGAAATACAAATGCATGACTTAGAGTTCTGTTTCTCCTGTTTCTACCACACTTTTTCAGGAAACCATTTGC